AAAAGCATTTAGTATTTAAATTTTTATTATACAGTATGTTTATTTACTTTTTACTTACTTGTTTAAGTTTTCATTAGAATTCACCATTAGATTATGGTCCAAGTTCGTTCAGATTCATATAACAGTATCGTTGCACCATTGGTGCAGTATATTTTTCTGTATATTCTAACCAATAGGATTACCGTTACTTTCCCTTCAGTACTTTCACGTTAGTGTTGTTTAACCACTTGAGTCTGAAGTATTCCCCAATATAGTTAAATGTAGATGACTTCAAGTGAACGAATTGCGCTGTCGCGTCCTTTGACACGCTTAACCGTTTACGAAAACGATTTCGCTACTTTTTTGCTGACATTTTGATCGTTTTACCATGCCAAATATTTACAAAAAATTCAGAAAGTTACGTCGAAGGCGATACATTCGCACTTAGTAATAATTATAGCGTGAAAGTGTGTGAATTCCAAAAACTAAGATAGTGCCGTGTATCCGTCTCATATATTTGCTTTATTGATATTTTGAGTGTCACAGGCCTTGTGGTGCCTATGCATATCTTGAGGTAATACGTCTTCTAAAAGATATTCTATTGGACACTGTTTGTGTAATAATGTATTTTAAAATTCTTTATCTTTGCAATTATAGGAAATAGTAATAATGTTTACATTGTTTTCTTACATTTATACACGAATCATAGACATAACCTACGTGATGTTTCATTATATTCTCTTTTAAAACACTTATATAGTACTTTAATATAAGGAAATATGAATTAGCATACCATTCTATTTTTTAATTAATTGATTTAAGTTGTATTTCTGTTGTACAATTTCTATTTATTGTGAATATCTAGTGATGTGTATTTATTGTTTGTATGGATATAAAAACTACAACAGCATGTAGTAATGAAAACTGTTAATTAAATAGCAATATAAACATTTATATCTATTCTTCTTTCTAATCAATTTAATTATTTTTTTAACTGATTTTATGTATATTTTGCTTTTATTTTAGCATCATTAATGTTACATTTTGTCGTTCAAGATTATAATTATTTAAGCAATATACATGAATTATTATTACATTATAAGGTTTTGCACATATTGAATTATAAATTATAGTTTAAAATACAGAAACTAAGTTTCAAAAATAGCCGAATATTATTTTTCATGTTATTGGTATGTGTTTCATTAATTAAACTATTGAAAATAATGTCCAAGAACAATGACTAATAAAATATGTAATATTACAGAATTTGGACGGTGTTCTAGATTATTTTAAGGGTATAAAGTTTCTCACACTTGGTTGAATCATTTAGCAAACATGTCAGAAATAGTTTACCCGCAAGGGTGCAGATCTGTTACAGAAGATCTGGGTCCAGATGAACTCATTAGAAGATTAAAGGTATATTTGTTTGTTATACATACAGATATAATATTTTTTTGGATGTAAAAGGAAAATAAAATAAGTAAAAATAATTGATATTAAAATTTATTAAACAGACATTAGCTCACACATTGCAAGCGATGGGTCAAGATGAAGGAATGTATCAACAATATATACCACTTGCACTACATTTGGCAGAAGAACATTTTTTAATGCATCAAAGTAAAGATGTACAACTTTTAATTGCTTGCTGTATTGCTGATGTTTTAAGGGTATATGCCCCTGAAGCTCCATATAAGGATGCAGAGCAGGTAATATAACTGATTACTTATGTTTTAAATAATTTTTTATACACATTTCAATTTTATAATTGCTGAATTTGTTTCATTTTTAAAATTTAATTTAATAGCATATTAAATTTTTAATTGTCATAGGTCAAAACAATATTTTTGTTCTTAATAAAACAATTAGCTGGTTTAAAAGATCCCAAAGATCCTGCTTTCAAACGATATTTTTACCTTTTGGAAAATTTGGCATATGTGAAATCCTTTAATATGTGCTTTGAATTAGAAGACTGTCAAGAAATCTTCTGTGCACTTTTTTCTCTTATGTTTAGGATAGTAAAGTAAGTATAACATGATTATAAAATACAATGCATGAATAATTAGCAAGTATTAAACCATTTTATAATCATAATTTCAGCGATGAACATTCTGGGAAAGTCAAAAGCTTTATGTTAGATGTATTATGTCCACTTATTACAGAATCAGACATTGTTAGTAATGAACTTTTAGACATTATACTTATGAATATTGTAGAACCAAATAAAACACAGAAGAAGAATGCATATTTACTTGCAAAAGAATTAGTAATTAAATGTAGTGATACATTAGAACCTTACATTCAAGCAGTGAGTAGAATACAAATTAAATATTCTTTTTGTTTCTAAGTATAGTATAGTAAATAGTGAAAAATAATAATGCAAAATTTTTTATACTTTTAAATTTATAGTTCTTTAACCATGTATTGATCTTGGGCAAAGAAGAAAAGAGTTTGCAAATTTGCAAGAAAGTGTATGATTTGATTTATGAGTTAAACCACATATGCCCAAGCGTCTTGTTGTCCGTCCTTCCACAATTAGAATGTAAACTAAAATCTTCCTCTGAAACTGAAAGATTGGGTGCTGTAGCATTGTTAGCAAGAATGTTTTCTGAAAAGGGGTCTCAGTTAGCTGTACAACATACACAATTGTGGCGAGCATTTTTAGGAAGATTTAATGATATCAGTGTATCAATCCGTATAAAATGTGTGCAATACTCAATGCATTTTTTACTGAACCATCCTGAACTAAGAAAAGATATTACTGATACCTTAAAATTAAGACAACATGATGCAGATGAAAGTGTCCGATATGAAGTTGTTATGGCTATAGTAACCACTGCCAGAAGGGATTTTGAAGTCGTATCGGACAGCGAGGATTTGTTAGAATTTGTTAAAGAAAGAACTTTAGATAAAAAGGTATGTTATTTTTAACAGAAATGTATTACCACTATTATTATGTTAATTATAATTGTTTTAATTTTCAGTTTAAAATCAGAAAAGAAGCAATGGCAGGATTAGCAATGATATATAAGAAACATTTAAATGATGCAGATGTACCACAAGCTACAAAAAAGGCTGTTACTTGGATAAAGGACAAAATATTACATGGTTATTATATGGCAGGCATGGAAGATAGATTACTGGTAGAAAGATTATTAAACACTTGTTTAGTACCTTATCAACTACCAGCTGGTGAAAGAATGAAGAAATTATATCATTTATTAGGTACAATTGATGATCATGCATCCAAAGCTTTTGTAGAATTGCAGAAACATCAGCTTGCGTAAGTATGCTTATGTTTATTTATTTCTTTTTTTTATTTGGTATGTAATGAGATATACAATACAATTTCATTGCTATTTTTATATGAAACTTTATACTTTAGTGTACGGAGAGCAGTGGTTGAATGGTTAGAAATTGTAAAAAAGCCAGATGCAATGGTTGAACTTGTAGCTAAAATTCATCAGATATCCCGCTTTCTACCAGATCCTATGAAAGTGCAAGAATTTTTACAGAAGTTTAGTGCTCACATGAGAAAAGATTCAACGTTATTACAAGGAATGGAAACAATAGTCCAGCCAAACGTTTCTTGCAAGGAATGTGCAGATACAATAAGTATGGTTCTCAAAAAATTAGGTCAACCTGTCATGACAAATTTGTACTATAACACGATAAAAATGCTGTTAGAAAGAGTCAGTTCTGTAATGATTGATGAAGAAGCAATTAGGGTAAATACATATACCTGTTTCATATATGTATTTTGTATTCATGTGTTTTACACTAATTATATTTTAACAGGTTTTAATTGGATATGTATTAGATTGTTTGAAAGGGGGAAATGTTATAGAAGAAGTTGGACTTAATCCAAATAATGCAGGTGAAAAGGGTCTGAGGTTACTTGTGGTATGTTTATGATTCTATTTTATAAGTAGATTTACATCATTTATATTGTTACTTCATTTGAATATATGTATACTGTTTATTTTCTTCCAGATGCTTTCATTTGTGTTTGGTCCACATTTTCTTCATAATGATATTCTGATGCAACTAGTCCATCTTTTGGAATTAGAAGATGAAATGGTAGCACCACTGGTTCTTTCGATTTTCACATTTTTAGGAAAATATAAACCTTTATGTGATGTTGCACCAGATATTATGAACCTTATGGTTCCGATATGTAAGAATTTCGCAGAAACGGGTACTCCAAAACAGGCGAAACAAGCTGTGAGGTGTTTATTTGTTAATATGACCAACATTCATGATACCATTTTTCCTGAGATTATTGAAAGAATTAAAAATAGCCTTACACCAACTTCAGAATATTATCGAACATCTATAGTTACATTAGGTCATATAGCTTATAATTTACCAGAAAAGTATCAAGTACAAATAAAAAATATGGTGTCTAGAAAGGTAAGTTTTATCGAAGTATTATCATTTCAAAATTATGACAATATGATTTAGTTTAACTTCGGTATGGTACATTTATAGATAGTCAAGGAGTTATTAGTAAAGGAAAGCAGTGAACAAACTTCTGATACCATCGAAGGAGACTGGTGTAGAGAAGATCAATTACCTGAAGAAACACGTTGTAGATTAGAAGGATTGAAATGTATGGCACGATGGTTATTAGGATTGAAGACTGATGTACTTTCTGCTCAAAAAACGTTCAGAATGCTGAATGCATTTGTAGTAAACAAGGGAGATCTTTTACAGCAAGGTCGTTTAAGTAAAGCAGAAATGAGTTGGTTGCGGTTACAAGCCGGTTGTTCAATGCTAAAGATTTGCGAACAAAAAGGTGTCGGTGATCAATTCACAGCGGAACAATTTTACAACTTGTCTCAACTCATGGTGGTGCGTTTTTACAAATTATAATGTAGTATTGACATTTCGTTAAATATACTTTGCATGTATATAACATAAGGTTTGATAGTATAGCGGAAAAAGTGTTCTAAAAGTGTAAGAACATATTTTTAACATAAATTAATTTGTAGGATGAAGTTCCACAAGTAAGAGAAGCTTTTGGTAGCAAATTACATAAAGGACTTGGAAGAGGAATTCCAAATAAGTGTTTACCACTAGATTTTATGGGCTACTATGCTCTTGCTGGCAAAGAACAAGACAAAAGACTAAAATGTGTTTTAAAAACTTACATGCAAACTGATATAAATAAAAGGAGGGATTATGTTAAGACATTATCACTGGGTACTGTAGAACGGGCCATGGGTAAGAAACTAAATAGTAAGGCATTATGGAAATATTGTTTGACATTATTTTTTTGTTATTGTTAAACGTTTGTTAATATAAAGGCAAGACATGATCTATTTTACTGAATTGTTGTTATAGGCCAACTGCCTCACATTCTTCCTGATTACATGCTAGTATTTGCAGTCCCTATTCTTGCACATGATCCTGAATTCACAAGTCATCTGATGGTGAATCAGTTGAAAGTAATACAGCAATGTTTATGGTTTATATTAGAACCTCTTATAACAAAAAATGAATATTATTGCTATGGTTTTTATAAAAATCTCATAGAACGAATGAAAAGTCATAAAGATGCTTTAAAACCTGAGGATAATAACATGAATTATGTAATTATTCTAAATTATTCATGCAGTTATTAATTTATGAAAAATATAAAAAAATTTACAATACTTTTTGTTTGATTACAGAAATTATGGGCTGTTTGTGATTTGGCTATGAATGTGATATATACAAAAACAACAAATTTCGATATGAAAGAATTCCCGAGTGAAACACGAATTCCTACTATGTACTTCAAGCGCGCGGATGAGCTGCTAGCTAATACTAGGAATTATTTACCTGCAGAAATGCAAATAAATATGACGAGCCCTAAAGGGAAAGGTTCGCTTCACAACACACTTTCTATTAGTGAAAGACCACAACGAAGAGCTAAGTCTAAACAACAGAAAGAAGTGGGCATTGGGCCAAATGAAACTGATGCAAGGGTAAGTTAACTAAAATAATCTTAAAAATAATTAATGAAGACTTTTTAGTCTATGTGATAGATATATGTAATATATAAATAATACTGTTAAAAAAATCTTTGAGTATGTATGATATAATTTCAAGCTGCAAATCGGGGAAGCGGAATGTATTGATGCACAGGTAAAATTATTTAAAATATATTTATATTGAGTACATATTTTTATTTTCCATTATATTTCATATTTTAATACTGTAAGTGATGTGTAATACATTAAATTTATTTGCAGCCGGCAGAAGCGTCAGAAACTAGAATTCAATTACCTGGTTTAGAAGAAGAAGTAAGTAAAAAGGAGTTTTTCATATTAAGTTGATATATAAGAAAAATATAATTTTTCAGATTGAAGAACCACCAGCAAAGAGGGCATTAAGAGAATCAGATAAAGTAAATAAATAATTAAGTGAATGGACTATACCCAAGGGGATGTTAGGAATAGGGGAAAGACTTAAGGGACGTGATGATCATAAGAATTAAAGAATCTAAAAATACTTTACAAATTAGAAAACAGAATATTTTGGTTATGTACAACAATTAATAAACCTGTCGTTCGCGTATGTCTAGACAGTAAGGTGTTAAGATAATGATACATTAACGTCAAATAATTAATACGTGTAAGCTTACGACTTGAAAAGTTTTATGGAGTTACATCTCATTCATAAGAAAATTACAAATTTAGTATTTGACTTATTGGATAATGTATTTGTTTTAATTGTGAAAAGAAACATGAACTTGTTTTTCTTTTAACTTCTTTATATATTTTAAGAAGCTGTGGCACATTCAATGATATAAAAATACGATTTCATCAAAATTGATAAATGACATCTTTTTTATATAACTCTTGAAAAATGTTTCCCAATTGAAGGTCTTTCTTCCTTGTGAAATATCTGACAATTGTTGTATTGTTCACTTTTGCATTAATGAATACAAATGTTTATACTATTTCATGTGCATTTTTCTTCATAGATCAATGAGACTGTACACAAAATTTTTGTAACTAAATATTTCCAAGTAGTGAAATTCATATACAATATCATCGAACTAAGTTATAGTTTTCAATAAAAAGATGATTAAAAACTATTTCTATTAAAAAAAATACGTCGAGATAATTCAATACATTAAATCTTTATACGCAGAAGAGAACAGCATAACGTTGTTGGATTTCTGTAAACATCGCGTTCTAGACAGAAGGGTGTGTGTCAATTGGCTTTGTGATCCAAAGTTGTTT